CTTGTTCTCAACTGAGATTAAATGAATCCGATGTATCGATGATTTTGCATCATACCTACCTTAGCTTAGTGCTGTCCTCTGGAACAAAAGGAAATATGTAGCAATAGAATTTGTATAAATCGAAATACTTACGTGAACGCAAACAAGATCGTGAAATGCAGATAATGACCACAACCGACAAAAAAAAAACAAAATAAAATAATAATGAATATAATATATTCATTATTATATTATGCCTGACAGGTTTAGTTGTGTAACATTTCCCAGAGATTATCTTTTTGTTGCTAATAGAATCTGAAAATAAGAGACAATAGTATATCCTTTTGACTAATATCTGAAATTTGCATATTTAGTTTTAAAAATGCGACATTTACCACTTAGACATGTAAGAGATTATATATTTTTTATACTATACATTTATATATTTTCTGATGAGGTGGTCAATGTCCTCCTGTGGTATCTCATTCCAGGCAACCACCAACTCCTCTCGAAGTGCTTCTAGAGTCTGAGGAGGACGTTGCAAATTGAGCAATCTCCTACCCATCATATCCCACACGTGCTCAATTGGGGATAAGTCGGGAGATCTTGGTGGCCATGGTAACAATGTGACATCATTATGTTGAAAGAAGTCTATTGTGACTCTTGCAACATGTGGTCGGGCATTATCTTGTTGGAAAGTTGGATCTGCCAGGGTGTCAAGATAGGGTAAAAGATGGGGTTCTAGAACTTCGTGGATATAACGCTGCGCGTTCATGTTACCTCTGATGAAGATTAAAGGTGACCTGGAACCATAAGCTATAGCACCCCAAACCACAACTCCAACAGTGTGATGAACATGTCTTTCAACAAAAAAGGGTGGATTCCTCCTTTCACCACGTCGCCTTCTAACCCTGGCACGACCATCGTGCATGCCTAAACAAAATCGAGACTCGTCACTAAAGACAATACTGTTCCATTCCTGATCCCAGAGTGACCGTTGTCTGCACCACTCAAGGCGATTAAAGGGAGGACCCAGTGTGGCCGGTATGAAAACAAGCCAAAACTTCTCATTCGTCGGTAAACACTTCGCATGCCAATAGGTCTTCCGTGTTCTGCAAACCATTCATTTGCAATGGACCTGGTAGTGGAGAAACGGTCCCTTAAGGCCAATAATCTTAGGCGGCGATCTTCACGGTCTGTTGTTCTACGGCGGCGTCCAGTGCCCCTTGCTCTTTGCGTACGGCCTTCTCGAAGCCATGCCTGACAACACCTAACCACAGTGTCTACACTTCTTTGCACTCCAGCTGATTGCCCGAAAAGAAAGTCCAGCTTCCCGAAGTCCCACTATACGGCCCCTATCAAACTCACTAAGTTGACGAAATCGTACAGGTCTCCGTACTCTAGGCATCGTAACCGATCGTAAAGGATGTCAAGAACCAAAATCCGCCAACGTTGATTCTTTACTGCGGTTGTAATATTCATTTTTAGAGCGTTAGTGAATTAAAAAAAAGCAGTATAAAAACTCGAGTGTCCAACTGATAAGGCTGAACATTTTTTCACTTGTTATTTACAGTAAGATAAATACATTCACCAACTTTTATTAAAATAAAACCATTTAAACTGGGTGTTCGGATTTATATGTCACTTAGTATATCTTTACTTATTGCAGACCAGATAAATTCTGCGTAATAAAGGTTGCAAACTGTTGGATATCGATTTCCATGAAGGGTGAAACAACAAATTCCCAAAACTCAAGTTTTTCGATAAACGCTTTTATATCAGAAATCATTTCTGCTAGACTTTTGTCTCTCCCCTGAAGCTGCAAGTTAAGTGCATTCAATTTTTCTGTAATCCACAAGAAAACTAAAGTCTCTAAGCCAGACTGAATTTTCCAGTTCCGGAATCGGTTCATCACGTTGTTTGAAAAATTTAACTATGGCAGATACGATATCATTAAAATGTTCCAGCACTCGTTCTCTACTTACCCATCGGAGTTCAGAGTGAAGAAGTAGTTCCTTGTATTGACAGTCAATTTCATGCGCCAAGGCTTTGGATATAATCTTCTTTGTAACGCTTGCGTTTTAATCTTGTTCACAATTTTACTACCAATTTCATAACGTTGTTTAGTTTTAGAAAATATCCTCATAATGCTTGCTGATATTTTTTTACAGTTTTAACAGAGAAATTGCGGAAGACTTTCATCTTTACGACATAATATTCCATGAGACCCTTATCACGACTCAGCATAGCTGGAGCGCCATCAGTTGTCAAACCAAACCATTTTCGATATTGGAATTTTCTCAGAAGAAATAATATTTTTAAACGAAGAAAACAAGTCCTGCCCAGTAGTCTGTCCTTTTGTGAAATAAACTTTAAAAGATCTTTAATCGTAAAATCACTAAAAACCATCCTGATGAACAGGGCCATCTAAGAGGTCAACGACATCTGTGGAGTCATCCAGCTGCTGTGAAAAATAAGCACCGCAGAGTTGCCGCTGCTTGCGCTTATTATGAGAATTTACAAAAAAAATTACGGTAGCTTCTATCATTTTTACTTCTTTTTAAGATATGCTGTGAGCCACCAGAATTGCCTTTGCGAGCTACCGGTAACGTTAGAATTCTAATAGCTTCATTTTATACACGGTGGTCCAACGGAAAGGTCGCACCCCTATTTGTAATTCTTTTCATTTTTAACCATACAATACAGCGTGGTGGAAAAGTAAGGCATAGCGCTACAACGAAAACCCCATTTTTTTAATCTTTACATTTTGCCATTAAGCTTTTGGAAACCACATTGTACGGTCTAAAATCTTTTTTTTTTTGGGACGGGTTGGGCATCAGCAAATTTTCAGTTGCGCTTGGCGGGTGGTACCGCCTCGGTCGACTGGTCCTTGTCCACCAACTTCTTTATGGAAGGTTAAATAGATCTAAATTGGCTCGTTGGCGGACTTGTACCGCCACCCATCAATCGGTATTGCGGTATTCCTTAACACTTTGACTGCCGAGCAGGTTGAAGCAGTTTTTCCACCTAGGCCATGGTGTTATTTCTTAATTTCCGGCATGATATACACCTAGAATTTAACTGTATGTATTTTTCAATATGACGTTGTGTTTTTTTCAGCAATTTCAGGAGTGTATCTCTAACGATACACGCGGCCTGTCCGATTTTTTTTTACCACAGGCCGTGTGTATCCCTAGTGATACACCGAAATAATGTATAGATTTTTGTTTCAGGTAGACGTTTTGCGACAAAAAGTGCAAAAAGACTAATAAAAAATTAAAGTGGACTTTACTACTTAGTGATGGTGTTATAACTGTGAGTGACTGTAAAGACAATGGCTAGAAAATATCTTTCAGACGAAGAATTACAACAATATATAGTGAACGTAAGTGACGAAGAGTCTTTGGATTCAAAGGATGACACTGATTATAATGCCTCGGCAACTGATACCAGCGACAGTGATAGTGAAAATTCGACGCCAAGACATAATGTCACTGCTCCAGGAGCTTCTGCAAGCCCTCCGGATAGTTCCCCAAAGCCAGGAACATCTGGAACTTCACCAAACAGATCACCAGCTCAAGGAATATCTGGATCCCCCCAAAACATATCCCCTGTGTCAGCTGGAACTGCAACTGCAGTAGATAGTTTTGAAGATATTATTTGGAGTGACCCGGCCGGAAAACAGCAGCACTTCAATTTCAATGCTGAATGTGGTATGGATCCAACGATCTCAGGAATATTGGCATTAGCTGAACCAATCGATTATTTTTCGTTATTTTTTAACCACGAAGTAATAAATATCATGGTAAATCAAACTAACTTGTTTGCCACACAGTATCTTGAACGTGCAAATGATGTCCCAAGTTCTTCACGTCTGCATGACTGGATGCCAACTGATGCAAACGAAATGAAACAGTTTGTGGGTTTGCTTGGATGGATGGGCGTGGTGAAAGTCCCCGAACTTCCCGATTATTGGTCTCAAAATCCATTGTTTTCATTTCCATTACCAAAAAACACCATGCCACGCAATCGTTTTGAGCTTTTACTGAGATTTTGGCATTTTGCTAATAACGACGAAGCAACACCAGGAGATCGCACGCATAAAATAAATGCAATTTTTAATGAGTTTATAAAAAATTTCAAAAATGCTTACACTCCAGGTGAAACCATATGCATAGATGAGACGATGATACCCTTTAGAGGACGGCTAAGCTTCCGTCAATATATTCCGTCGAAAAAACACCGTTATGGAATAAAATTGTATAAACTATGCACTGAAAATGGCTACACTTGGAACGCCAGCATTTACATGGGTAAAGATCAAACGACTGATAAGACGAGGTTAGCTTCATACAATGTCGTTATGAATCTTATTGAGGATCTTCTCAATCAGGGAAGAACATTGTATGTGGATAATTTTTATACTAGTCTGCCTTTAGCTTATAAATTACTTGAGTTACAAACACACTTGGTAGGCACAATGCGTGCCAACCGGAAATATATTCCGAAAGCAATTCAAGATGCCAAACTACGCAAAGGTGAAATAATAAATAGCGAAAGAGTCACCGGAAGGGGTGACAATTATAAAATGGCGGGACCAAAGAGATGTACGAATGTTGTCTACTTGCCATTTGGGTACCGAGACCATTGTTACTACGTCTAGACGTCAAACAGAAAACGTAAAGCCTAAATGCATAGTAGATTATGACAAAGGAAAGGCTTCAGTTGACGTAAGCGATCAACTAGCGTCCTATGATACAGCTCTAAGACGCTGTAACAAATGGTACAGAAAAGTCATTATTGAGATTTTGTGGGGTACATCTCTTGTGAATGCATATTTTTTGTATACAAAAAATAATGTCAATGGCAGAGATTTGAACATCACGCAATTTCGACAAAAAGTAATTCTTTCATTGTTGGAAGGTAAAAAAAATACTACTTGTAGTAAAAGAAAACATGTATCCCACCACTTAGTTACCCACGCAGAAAAAAAGAGGGCCAGGTGTGCAAAATGCTATGAAATGTATGGGAAGAAAGGCAAAACCGTAGATGGAAAGAAAACAATGGCATCACAAGTTATTACTATTTGTGACACTTGTGAAGGAAATCCCCACTTGTGTCGGGATTGTTTCAATGCCAAACATTAATCGTGTTTCAAATCATTGTTTGAGTTATTTTATTTATCACAAAAATATCGTTAGAGTTGAGGCGTTATTTTTTTCAATATTAGTTTTGTATCAGAAAAATGAGTTGCGTTTCAACTTTATTTTTTTCCTTGTAAAATCCTTGTAATTACCTTTATAATACGTTTTATAATAAAAAGATTTTAACCAACATATTTATTCTGCGTTTTTTTTAACCCATTTGCAACATGTCACATTTCAACCAGTCATATATTTTTGACGTAAGCCTCAGGCCAAAACTATGAAAACCATTAAATTTGTACAGGCCAAGCCTATAAAATTCCAATATAAAACTAATGCCATGGTGCTCCCTAGCGATACACCACCGTAATAACAATGCTGTTGTTGGTGTATCGCCAAAGATACATGGGGCCTGAGTTGATCACACCCGGTGTATCGCTAGAGATACACCTGGCAGGCAAAGTGTTAACGAGTGTACAATCACCTGAACGGAAAGAAGTTGTATACTGAATACAACAACTTCCGCTCAGTAGTGTATTACTACAATAGCCACAATAGTAGACTCCTGAGAGAGCAAGAAGTAATCACTAACGAAAGTCCTTTGCATACGACTTGATGTTATTGGCAACATCCGCAAATTTTTACGATGCAGTTCCAAAATCATTCGTTTTCTCTGTGATAACCAAATTTACTTAAACCCACATCCGCCTTCAGCCAAACGAGGTCCCATTTCAATATGTTTACGTTTTGATATTTCACTACTTGCCCTAACTATAACTTCAGATAAACTTTATTGACTACACGAAATATTATTGAAAACGTATAAAGTTTATGTCCCCCGGTCCTGAGGGGAATCAAGAGATGTCAGTACTCCGCGATTGAGAGAACCTGTTTTCTTCCGAGGATAACTTTGCATACTTTCTAGAATGTAAGGAGAAATATTTCCTTTAGCTGATATTTTCCAAGGAAATAGCCTCCATCGTGTATCCCTTCCATATTACTTAACCGTACAGGATGGCCCGTATAAGATAAGTGATATAAGATTTTGAGTTACTTACCTCAATGTATACCTTCTTCTCGTATAAATAACTAGTTTAAGTTAGCAGTTCGGCCAGTGTGAAGGGGATTGGATTCGGAGAAAGAAATGCAATAGTTACTTTGCCAATGGAAATTTTATTCTACACTAGCATCGTTTTCAAGTGGTGCTTAACCTCCGATCACTGAATCGATTTTCAAAAACTGCAAGGCTTTTTCGTCCTTGGTATAGTAGTACCTTGTGTGAGAATTTAATCCAAATCAGAAGCGGTCCTTTTCGAGCTATTGACGGGCCAGGAATTAGCGGCTAGACAAACAAGCCGACGGAATTGACACACATAGTTTCCGTTTCCCTCTTACACAGACACCTCCTTTAAACGGACAGTTTCTCATGATCTCGACCATTGTATCAACTCTCTAGTGGACATTCTCTTGATCGTACGCGGTCATATGAGAATGTTCTCCTAACCGGACAAAAAACAAAATAAAACGAAACGCCTTGCCTCATTTTATTTATGTTGAGAGTATCAAGGTCTGAGCAGAAGGTCCAGCTGTAGAGCTTCTTTGAACCAGCTGGGAATACTAACTTTGCCGTCCATATACATTTTCGAGCTGTTGTTACATGTAAGGTCTAATTTTCCGAAGCTGAACTACCTTAACAGGTACTGAACAAGAAGTTCGCTTATCCTACAGGCTCCCACGCACAGATTATCTAGAACAGAATGCAGTCCGCATCAAATGAGTGTTAAGTTGTTCAACAAATTGCCAAACACCCTCAGGGCCCTGCCACTCACTATTTTCAAATATGAAATTAAGACTTTATTAAAAAGTAAAGCATATTACTCTTCGGATGAGTACTTGTCAGATACCCCAACAAACGACCAGTTGGAGTAGTTCTGAGAATATAGTTTATAACAGTGTGTGATATCCTATATCTCAATTTCAGCAATTACCGTCTTTATTTATTTTATATTCTATGTTTTTGAATTTTATTTATTTTATTTATATAATTATCATATAGAGATATTTTAATCATTGTCTTCCACGTTTCTTCAATGTTTGTTTTTGGTTAAATGTTTGTCTGTTTTATATTTCAATGTGTGTTAACTAACTATTTATTTATTTTCTGTATACTCTTTTACACTACTGTTTCCATTGACGTGTTGTATATCATCTTATAATTTTTCGGTACAAAGTATAAATGCAGCCTATGTGGTGCATTTCTGCGAGGCGTGAATTAAGTCCCAGAGTTGGTCGGGGATTTACAGTCCTTATGCTTTGGGGCACGGTGGACGACACATTCATTGCAGAAATTGCTCTCAATAGGAAAATTCTAATGCTTAAAAAAATTGAGAAGTTGAGTGTAAGGAACTTAACCAAGCGTTTTAACCCGCCTGTAGTCGCGCCCTGGTTTTGTACTCTGTTGGTCGCGCTGGGTTTATCAGACCCACGCAAACTTTCCGTTTTCTTCGGTATAAAAAAATCGTTTTCCTAGAATAACACATGAACCAGTGTTTGACATATGTCAACTCATACTTTCAAAAATGGAACATCGACGAAATAAAATGCGCTTATTAATACCACTTAATAGATTTACATCAAAATGTCAAACTAAAAGCAAAAAAAAAAAGAAAACAGTGAAATAAAACATTGAACGCAAAGATAATGATCTATAAGAAACATTGACTTAATGAATAATAACAAATTAATTGCTGTCATTTTCCGAACCTATTTTCTCCCCGTAAGAGTCTTGACACTGCGAGAAATCTGTATTCAGTCGCGCTGGGTCTGAAATCGGAAACATGGAACAACACACTCAGCTTTGCAGCTGCGCTGATACTAATAACAGATATTTAATCTTAATCACAATATGGGAAGGTAGTGGGAAGGAGACATTGGGCAGTGTTGTCACATACGTATATACGCAGTGGTAGGTTTTAGAGGCATATGGGTCAGTCAGACCCGGCGCGACTACAGGCGGGTTAATATTCTAAAACCACAAGTTGCAGATATAAATTAAACATAAAGAAATCCTTATAAAGAAATGAATGTTACAGCATTTTGAATGGAAAAGATAAGCTTTTTGACGCGTGGTAGTACCAAAATTGACAAATCGTGTTATGACTGGTTTATAGCAGCTCGTCGTAAGGGGACTTATTTGACGGATATGCATGCATATTATTTTTATGATAATTTTTTTTCTATTAAAGCGTTGATTTTCTTTACATATCAATTCCAAAGTACATAAAAAGAGTGACATTATCAATAGGTTTGTCGTGACAAGACGACAAAAAACTTATTTCTTTCAGGTCCACTGATACGATGCAAAGCAAAAGAAATATTCTACATTCAGTGCTTCTTCTCGTTGGCTCAATAAATTTAGAATTCGCGACAATATATACTAAGTGACATATAAATCCGAACACCCAGTTTAAATGGTTTTATTTTAATAAAATTTTGTATAAGTACTTAATGAAGCATAATAAGTAAATGATAAAAATTTCAAAATTATTGCACTGCTTTAAAGCCCTTTGACCTTTAATAATGTGTGGATGCAAACTGATGTGCCACGCATTCTTCAACGCGCCTAGGCCTGCTTCTGATCAGGTGGTCAATGTCCTCCTGTGGTATCTCATTCCAGGCAACCACCAACTCCTCTCGAAGTGCTTCTAGAGTCTGAGGAGGACTTTGCAAATTGAGCAATCTCCTACCCATCACATCCCACACGTGCTCAATTGGGGATAAGTCGGGAGATCTTGGCGGCCATGGTAACAATGTGACATCATTATGTTGAAAGAAGTCTATTGTGACTCTTGCAACATGTGGTCGGGCATTATCTGGTTGGAAAGTTGGATCTGCCAGGGTGTCAAGATAGGGTAAAAGATGGGGTTCTAGATTTTCGTGGATATAACGCTGAGCGTTCATGTTACCTCTGATGAGGATTAAAGGTGACCTGGAACCATAAGCTATAGCACCGCAAACCATAACTCCAACAGTGTGATGAACATGTCTTTCAACAAAAAACTGTGGATTCCTCCGTTCACCACGTCGCCTTCTAACCCTGGCACGACCATCGTGCATGCCTAAACAAAATCGAGACTGGTCACTAAAGACAATACTGTTCCATTCCTGATCCCAGAGTGACCGTTGTCTGCACCACTCAAGGCGATTACGTCGGTGTTCTCGAGTTAACGGGAGGACCCAGTGTGGCCGGTATGAAAACAAGCCAAAACTTCTCATTCGTCGGTAAACACTTCGCATGCCAATAGGTCTTCCGTGTTCTGCAAACCATTCATTTGCAATGGACCTGGTAGTGGAGAAACGGTCCCTTAAGGCCAATAATCTTAGGCGGCGATCTTCACGGTCTGTTGTTCTACGGCGGCGTCCAGTGCCCCTTGCTCTTTGCGTACGGCCTTCTCGAAGCCATGCCTGACAACACCTAACCACAGTGTCTACACTTCTTTGCACTCTAACTGCAATTGCCCGAAAAGAAAGTCCAGCGTCCCGAAGTCCCACTATACGGCCCCTATCAAACTCACTAAGTTGACGAAATCGTACAGGTCTCCGTACTCTAGGCATCGTAGCCGATCGTAAAGGATGTCAAGAACCAAAATCCGCCAATGTTGATTCTTTACTGCGGCTGAAATATTCATTTTTAGAGCGTTAGTGAATTAAAAAAAAGCAGTATAAAAACCGGAATGTATTTACAGTAAGATAAATACATTCAGCAACTTTTATTAAAATAAAACCATTTAAACTGGGTTTTCGGATTTATATATCACTTAGTATATATATAGAAAGTCGGAGAGGTTCAGAGTCTTTGGGGTTTTTTATTTAATTAGAAAAACGATTTCAAGTCGCCAGTTTAAAGAAAAAGAGGAGACGAACAATATATC